TTTTTGAGGCCTTTCCCAGAAACCCTCTTTCCTCCTTTCCTGTCCGTGGGCCGGCCTGGCTGCCGAGGCAGCGCGCACAGCGTTTACAATTCCCATAGTTGTCGGAGAAAGTCTTGCCGGGCCCAGCAAGCCGATAGGGGGTTGAGGGTGGACAACTTCCAGAAACTCAAGAGCCATTTTCGAAGTTGAAGGTTGAAGATTGAAGATCCAACTAGAAAAGTTTTGAAGCATCGAACTAAGTTACCTGACTCCTTCTTCCTCATTAAGACCTGGAAGTAGAGCTTATAAGCTGTTTACATACCACTGAAACCTTAGTCCCTGAACCCTGCGGAAGCCCTTGGACCATACTCATACCTTACAAAACCTTCTTCAACAGTTCAACCGTCTGCAAAGCCTACAAACCTGACAATTCTATGAAGTAGGCCTCATATGGGATTATACTGCTTTGAGGTATAGGGACCCCGGTGTGCGGTGTTCGGTTCTTTCCCGGGGGTGAGCTAGGTAGACAAGGCCTTGAGGGTCCTGGAAGCCTCTTATACTTGGTAGCCCACTAACCATATTGTAGGGTACCCTTTCTTGGGTTAGTTACTGTATATGGGAACCTTGAACCAAAAAGAAGGGAAAAGGGCACCACTGGACTACCAAGTACATAAAAAGCTCTGGGAAATTTGCCAGGTGAGGTTCTGAACCCTTTAGGATCAAAATGCCCCAAAAAGCCAAGAGTGGCAGCAGGGCCCTGAAAAAGGGAGGGGGGACTCCCGGCTTCAGGGCGCCACCCATTCAAGCGGGGGCGTCGAGGAGGGGCCTTCTTCTCTGGCACAGCAGCCGGCTGCACTTCAACTGCACCAGCAGCTCTCTACATCCGGGGCCCGAAATAACCCTAACACTCGTGCAGCTTGGGTCCCCCACACAAGCCCAAACCCAAGAACATCCAGAGCCCAATGCCTGCACCCTCTTTCCTGCTAGCTCTGGTAAGCCTAAAAGTCCTATAGCCCTCAATCCTGCAGCAAATCCTAAGACCGGAAACAGTTAGATGTCGGGTTCTACACGGGGTGGCGGTCGTTTTGATAGACTGTAAACCTACTCTCCATATTTCTAGAAAGCTCAAGCCCTAAGCTTAGCTTGTAAGGCTCAGGAAGGTCTAAGACTTGAGTTTGGACCTGAGACCCACGCTGCAAGAGATGGCCAGGGATCTAGAGCAAATTGCAACAGGGGTTTAGGGTTTAGGGTTTTGGTTTAGGGGGGGGGGGGGGGTTCTGGGGGGCTTTCTCTCGTAAAAAGAAGAGGTCAATGTCACTGAAGACTTGTGGGATGATAAGGATGGTTTTGGCTTTGGGTGTTGGGTTTGCAGGTTCATTGGGCTAGGGATGGGTTGAGGGTTTAGGGTTTACAGGGTGTGATGCGACAAGATATTGAGGGTTTTGGGTTCAAGGCCGTGCATGGTGGAGGAGCCGGCAGCATCGTCCCCACAGCCTTCTGGTTCCTTCTCTTCCTCATTCTCCTGAAAGACACTCACTCAAGCATGGCACAATGATTCAGGCCCATAAACAACAAACCCTCTTCCTACCTCCTATACCACCCTCGAAACTACTAGAATCAACCCTAGACTACTTGCGCAGGCTCTTGGCTCTTTGGGAAAGCCTCGGGCTTCAGCTCTCTGACGCGGGCGGGCATGCCATGCACCGCATGACAGCCAGCCCTGCAAAACAAGAGCCCTTCAAATTCTTCAGACCCTGTGGGACGTAGACCCGCACATGTGGGGCATTGCGAGTCCTCGTCGGGTTTTGGCAACGCCTCCTGCACTTCAACTTCCACGCCTTTGATGCTGTGGCCTTGGTTTGTAGGGGTGCAGGGTGTTAGGGATAGTAAAGAATCCAAACACTCGCCTTGTATCAAGTGTAGGAGGATTTTCGCATGGCATCTGGGTCCCAGACTGTCTGCACCTGGGCAGCGCTCTAGGGGGCCTTGCCTCATGCTACGGGGTCTGAGCTCCACGATTGCAAGGGTTCGAGCTGTTGCAGCCTGCCGCCTAACTTGGGTGTCAGGTCACAAGGAAATGTTTCAGCTGACTTGAGCTGTCAGATTGCCCTGGAGTTCTGGAGGGCCCGGGGCATTTTTGATGACTGAGCCTCCGCATACACCCAAACCCTAAACCCAACAACCCCTATGCTCAACACGAACCGAAAGCTGCTTGAAAGCCGATGTCCACTGAGCCCAGAAACCTGGCGCACCAACTCCTAGGGATTGGGGTTTAGGCTCCAGGGTTGAGGGTTGAAGGCCCTACAACCTGCCCCTTCACACGGCGCTCCTTTCTAGCGCTTTCGCGAGGCCTGTGATCGTCTCGATGAGCTCGTCCACGCTAGGTGCGGGACCTTCCTCACGGTTCGGGCGGGGGTGTCGGGGGGTGGGGGTGGTTAGGGCATGACTTTTGAACTGTATCGGGTTGGCTTCGGGCTCAGAAATTTCAGGTTCGTGAAAGCGGCTATATGAGAATGCCAAATATGGACGAAGACTCGTGAGTGGCACATGGTCTCGCGGAGTACGTAGCGCGGCACCACGAAATGACAAAGAGCCCTTGCGTGCCCCTGCGCCACACAGCTCCCAAGCAACAACAAACAACCAATATCAATACATATATATATATATATGTATGCAGATATATATATATATATATATGGTACCCCCCCCCCAGTGACCTACCCTTTTTCGCCTTGTCTTAAGTCATCCAGCTGCAGTGCAAGCAAACTCGGTGCAATCTAGCGTGTTTCCTAGGGCGTAGACTAAAATACAACTAAAATTGCATACACGGGACAGTAGAAAAACCAAAATACCAAAACCAAAAAACCAAAAAAACCAAAAAACTAAAAAACACAAAAAAGACAAAAACAACAACTTTCCGGAACTCTCAGGAATCCCTATGAGGCTTCTCCAAGAGTCCCGGAAAATTGTTTTTTTTTTGTTTTTTGGTTTTGGTACTTAGGCTGTTTGGTTCGCCTTCACGGTCACGAGGCAACAACTACGCATTTTTACGTGGTCTTTCTAGTGCTTCAGAACTATTTGTTTCGTTAGTATGTACGTAGAACCGCTTCGCTTCTTTTTCAACTAGTGTTTAGTGCATCTTGTGGTTGTACTCAAATGTAGTAGACCTTATTCAGCCATTACTTGGTGCTCTGGAAGCTAAATTCGCGTGGGTAATATTTGCCTGGTAAAAGCGATTAATTATCTAGAAGCAGCATTTGCAATACTTGTCTTGAGAAAAAGCATTTATTGCTTAGAATTGTTTGCTTGAAAAGTGACTCCTACTCGTCCAGGGATACCCCAAAACCCTATAATCCAAACTTCACCAGAGATTCTCCTGAAAAGCTTGCGCTTTTGGATGTTTTTTTGTATTTGTGAATTTGCTTGTGTATGGCCTTCACTAAGTGCTTTTCTAGGATTCTTGTGCACTATATTTAAGCCTGATTGTGCAAGTTGTGTTTTTCAAACATAGTATATAAGTGGTCTTTATTGAATACTTCAGACATCTTTGTTTCATCGTTATGTAAGTCGAACCGCTTCTAGTTCCATTATTGTGCATATTTAAGCTTGCTTATGCAAATTGTGCTTTTCAGACATAATATATATAAGTGGTCTTTATTGAATACTTCAGCAATCTTTGTTTCATTGTTATGTAGGTAGAACCGCTTCCATTTCCGTTAGTGTTTATTTCGTATTTGGTTGAGTATGGTCCTTTAAATAGTATTCACTTGAGTCAAATTGGGCTATTTGCTTAAGAATTACTCTAGTAGCTAAATTCGCATAGAATGAATATGTCAAAAAAATTGTTTCATGAATATGCAAACATGAGGTATTTCAGTGGACTTTGCAGATAGTATTTCAATTTTACTTTGCCTGATATAAACACAACTGTTTCAATGCATTAATTGCTCAACAAAGCACTATTTGCCCTTTAAACCACACTTTGCCATATTTTGGTTGAACATGGTGCTTATTTCGTATTTTGGTTGAGTATGGTCCTTTAAATGGTATTCACTTGAGTCAAATTGGGCTATTTGCTTCATACTTACTCTAGGTAGCTAAATTCGCAGAGAAGGATTATTTCAAAAATAAGTAAAGTTTCATGACTATGTAAACATAAGGCATTTCAGTGGACTTTTCAGATAGTATTTGATTCATACTTTGCCTAGTACAAACACAATTGTATAAATACAGTAGTTGCTCAATAAAGCATTATTTGCCCTTTAAACGCACACTTTGCCATATTTTGGTTGAGAATGGTGTCTATTTCGTATCTTGGTTGAGTATGCTCCTTTAAATAGTACTCACTTGAGTCAAATTGGGCACTTTGCTTAAGAATTGCTCTAATAGTTAAATTCGCATAGAATCAAGAAAAATGTTTCACCATTTAATTAATACTTTGCCTCGTGCAAACACAATTGTATAAATAAATTAGTTGATCAACAAAACAGTAGTTGCCCTTCAAACGCACAATTTGCGTAGAGAAAAACACAGATCTAAACATCTAAAAACAGCATTGTCCGCTTCAGATTCAAAATGTAGATTAATCCAATGCTGGCTTATCGGGGTCTGTGAGGTGGGTGTCCCAGTAACTGTCCTTCATTACCCGGTGATTAACTACGCGACTTTTGGGCCTTCGTTGTTGCTTTTGTTAAAATGGCCTAACAAGGCCTAAAAAGGGTAGGTCGCTGGGGGGGGGGGGGGGAGCATATATATATATATAGAAACATATAAATATAAATATAAGTATAAATATAAATATGAGTATAAAAGTAAATAAATATAAGCAAATAAATAAATAAATATATATATATATATCATATGGTAAAATGTAATATATGTAGGCAAAAGGCCGTCCTCTGGCTTCTTGGGCACTATGGAGACAAACGCCATGCCTGCACGGTAAAGTGTCATGCAAAGCTGCTGGCTATCCTACACCCCTTCTCTTTTCCTACAACAACGGCAAGAGAGAACAGCAACACTCACAGCTCAAGCGGCGACTGCCAGGAAGTGACGACATCAAGGGTAACACCGACCACCCGCACATTTATGATTTTAAGGTTGAAGGGCCCAGACATCCCGTGTCCTGGGTGGAAGAAGCGGAAACTACGTAGACCAGCACGGAATGCGTCAAAGCCGCAGCTTCTCAACAGTTGTCGACTGAAGCGGGCCTCGTGGGCGTTGTGTCTTCTTGTCCCGAACCAAGCTTGCCTGTTCAACACAAGGACCCATGCGCCAGGGTGGTCTCTGCAGACTTCGAGAGCTAAACCCTATATATATACACACTCTATACACCATACACCCTATACACCCTATACACCCTATACACCCTATACACCCTATACACCCTATACACCCTATACACCCTATACACCCTATAAACCCTAGAAACCCTAGAAACCCTACAAACCCCATAAACCCCATAAATCAGATAAGCCCCATAAACCCTATAAACCCCACACACCCTCAACCCTAATCGCTGAACAGACTGCCAGGGCTGGGAACAAAAGGAGCAAGGCCGCCTCGGTAATGGTGCCGAACTGCTGGAAGTAGTCCTGGTTTGTCAGGAAACGGTTAGGGCTGAGGGTACTTTCCTGACAAACGCACCCCCTCAGCCCCTGAACACCGAAGTATCCCCAAAAAGCCAAGACCTAAACCCAATAAGGTCTGTAAGCCTTAAAGCGATAAAGATCACACCCACGAATTGCCCCAAAACCCTACTCCCAAATCCCTGAACCCTCGCGGCCAGGGCGCTCTGAGGTGGTGCTCCCCAAGGTTTCCAAGACCCCGGATGAAGAAGCGTACAGACCTCGGCGCTTTGACTTGTCCAGGGGTTTGGGGGATCAGGGGTTAAGGGTGTTTAGGGCAACTGTAGGAACGAAAAGGGCGCCCTTCCTTCGGCTTTAGGTGCAGCTTTAAGGGAGCCCCACCCTGCAAGGAATGCTTGGCGCCCCATGGATTGCCTGGGTTGCCGGCTTTTGCAGTTTAGGATTATTTTGGAGGCCCTAACTGCATGCATTGCGGCTTTCGTGCTGGGAGCTTGGCGATGCCGGTCAGGAAGGTTGAAACCTGAAGCCCTAAACGTTACAATATAAAAATGCCGAGAATCCCAAACCCATGAAAGGAATCTCTGTTCAGCATGAACGTGACACAACCCCAAACACCCCAACTCTTGAACTGGTCTCCTGTTGACCACCTTCGACTTGAAACCTTGCTTCTGCAACCTCCATCAACCTCCCATACTACATCTTCAGGGTGTCGGGCCCTGCGTTCCCCCCCCACGCCTTGAATCCCCCCCCTTTTAAGCACCAGTAAGCAGCCCCAACATGGCTGTGAGATGAAGAGCTTGAGACCCCCGCTTCCCAGAGCTGGGCTCCTCCTGGCAGCAAGGGGGGTTAGGGGTTTAGCATTTGATGTGCCCTGGCACAGCTGTAGAGGATAGATACTCGTTTCGAACGCCTCGCAAAAATGAAGTGCAGCTAGGATGTGCAAGATTGTGGAGAATACCCTCCACCCTCCACAGTTTTCCCCTAAGGTCTAAACCCGAAACCCTAAACCGCTAAACCCTGTCCGAGCCCTAAAACGCACCTCAAGTGGTCCCCATGCCAGCCTCCGTGGCCAGTGTCGTCTCCGCCTGTGGGGTCTCAGTAGCCTGGCAAGTGCATGTATAACATTGTACGGACATATACATACATATATATATATATACATACTATGTGTACATGTATATACGTAAAATATACACATACATCGTGTGTATCATATTGGTGCAGGGGCAATGACATTGAGAGATGGGATTCGGAACCCGCGTGATGCAACCAACTGTCTGCTGAGGTCGGAAACACCTAAGGACCTACAAAAACCACTACATCTTCAAGGGCTTGGTGGGTTACAGCTGAGTGTGTGGGGTGGCTCCCAGAATCCACGCCCTACAAACCCAAGAATCCGCGACCCAGTTGGTTCAGAGTCTCCTGTAAGCCCCAAACCTTGGGATGTTCCCCCTTATACTAACAGTCCTTGATAGGGACTGCAAGAGGGGGCACTATAATCCCTATTGAGGACTGTTAATATAAGGGGGAACATCCCAACCTCCAGGACCCAAACCCAAAGTCTCACCTCAGCCTTCTCAGCCTGCTTGGCAGCCACCTTTGCCAAGGCGTCTGCTGTCGCTGCCTGGCAGGGGTGGAGGGCTCAGCCCTGGTGCGCGTGGGGTCTGGGGATTTGGGTCTGAGATGGAAGGTTTAGGCTTGCAGGACTTCTAGAATTTTCAGAAGGTAGCTTGAGCACGAAGCGATCTGCAAATAAATGGGCAGCGTAAGGGGCCTTATGGGGTCTGTGTGGGCCTTCCGGGCAGCTTGAAAGGTTTGGGATGTATCGGGAAAAAGGGCTGAGGATTGGGACGCTGGAGGACTTCGGAGACCTTGCGAAGGTACAAGGGCTCCGAACCCTATACCCGACATGTCATCAGCCCTTGCAGCAGACGAATAGGGAGACCTGGGAATATCCAGCCTTCATGCAAGCCGGAGCCCTAAACCCTCAAGGGCCCTGTAAATAAACCCGAAGCCCCCTAAACCCCAAACCCTGAACCCTGACCCCTGAACCCTGAACCTTGAACCCTAAACCCTAAAGCCTAAACCCTAAACTTAAACCAAGTACTAAGCCCCAACACCAGCAATGACAATGAAGCCCCCCCCAACAAGCTTCCGCCAAGAGGCCGCCGCAGCGGCAGCTGCGACTTCGCCTGGATCCTGCAAAGTGGCGAGGTGTGAGTCTCACCCTACAGCCTAAACCCCAATCCCCCTATTCCTATATATATATATATGTATGTATATATATATATATGTATACATCTATGCATACATCTATACAAATTTGTATACATGACAGATACGCACAATCTTCGACGAAGGCTGTTGAAGCTTCGGGCTTTTGGGCTTTCAGCCCGCCACCATATCTCTGGCCATCCGGCAGAGGCCCCTAAAGCCCCTAAAGCCCGTAAAGCCCCTAAAGCCCCTAAACCCTAAACCCTAAACCCTAAATTCTTCAGATGCAAGAGGCCGGCCATCCCAATAGAGTGGGGGAGCTCTAGCCACAAGGGGTATCAGTGGCTTGCGTTTACGGGTTTAGGGTTTCAGGGGTTGAGGGCTTTGATGGTTTTGTAGGAAAGAGGCCCATTCAAGAAGGATCTTTTGCCGGGTGGAACAGGCCTCACGACTCGCCAGCTCTGTCCCGGCTTTCATGCTTTGGGACTGAAGTGTCGGACTTTCCCTGTTCCCTTCCAACAGTCTCTTCGCAGAATTGATTCTTCAACAGCACAGCACACCCCAGGTACGAGTATTGAGGTCTCCTTCTCAGGAATGCGCACCATGGCTTCCAAGGGTGCGTGTGACTACAGCCGTCCAGTGCACCGTGTATGTGTAGCTGAAGGCATTGAATCAAATCAATGGGTGTCTGGCTGACTGAGATGTACCATGCTGGTTAACACCCTTCTTGGCAGGCTCAACCTATAATCGCTTGGAGATCAACGATGCTTTCGGCTCGGCATGTTGCAAGCTTACAGCGATCAGCAGCAAGTATTGGCCGATGCGCACTGGAGCCATGCATATGACGCCCGCATGCTAAACCCGAAGCTGCTGGCCAACTGCTGCGTTCAGGTGCGACAAGTCTCAAAACCTGCTTGCATGCAGGGATATTGTGCATGCAATGCTGGCCGGGGCTGCAAAGCCCTAAACCCTAAAGCCTGCTAGAGTGCCAGACGTTTCTCCGCACAACCGATCGTTAGCATCCTCAGCTTGATGTATGTCGGCCGAGGATTGAGCAGCATGCTCAAAAGCGGGGTGGTTGGAAAAGACTTGAAGGGCTGTAAATAAGCAAGCTCTTCGCATGTTTGTGACTATAAAGTAACACACAACATGTTGCATAATGTAACATCATGTACATGACCTCTGAACCCTAAACCCTAAACCCTGAACCCCAAAGGGCTCAAGAAGCCCATGCAGGATGTGAAGACTACACAGCAGATGCTCGGCCGCTACGGCTCACTCACACTTGAAGCGACCCGGCATCATCAAGGTTTGGGTCTGCTGACTTGCTTTTCATCAGTTAAGGGGTTTAGGGTTTAGGGTTTAGGTTTTAGGGTACATGTATATGCCTGTACAAAACAACATACATATAATGTGTGTGTATACATATATGTATAGATACACATATCTATATATATATATATATACATACACGTGTGTATATATACATATATATATATGTGTATCACACCTGCACTTATCAATTCATATGTATAAATAAATAAATAAATAAATAAATAAATATATACATATATATATACATACATAAATACATACATACATACATACATACATACATACATACATACAGAGTATACTAACTCAAGGAGCAACTCCTTGACATCCCAAAGCCCTGAATTTCCAACCGCGCACGCATTCAGCTGGCAGCAGCAACTCGCAGCAAGGCTCAGCTCTTCAGTCCTGCAGTTGCTTTGGGGGGGTGTAGGGTTTAGGCAACTAGCCCTGCGGACACTTGCCAAGGATTGCCGTGCAGGAATACGCTGGCGCAGTCGCAGTCCAGCTGTTCTCGCATTTCGGAGTTTAGGGTGTCCAGCTTCGGGATACTTGGTCCTAAACCCAAAGCCGCCAGAAAGCCGACAGCCACGAACCCCCCAAGCCCTTCCCTTCAGCCCTTGTGATCCATCATCCCCTTCGGATGCCTGCCACGCGCCGCCCATCACACTTCTCCGTATATGGAGATGGAGGACATTCTGGGCAGGCGGGGAGATCATAATGGGGCCTGCTTGGAGGTCTATATATATATATACATATATATATATACAAATATATAAATATATATACATATATATATATATATACATATATATATACATATATATATATACATATGTATACAATCCTAACTGGTGGTCACCTTGTGTGGGAGTACGCGCAAGCCTGCTTATGGCTAATTACTCAGGAACCTTCAAGTCGCGGAGTGTACGCTGAGCCCTTACAAGGCCCGTAAATTGAGAGCCGAGGGGGGGAGCAGGGACCGGGCCATGGTTCACGACCCTCCGAACCGACACGGAAGCCCTCCCTCTGAAAAGCCTGAAGGGCCTAAGGCCCTAAGGCCTGAACTCAGAAACTCAATTTGGAAAAATAAGCCTGAAGGCCCTATAAGGCCCTAAGGCCTGAACTCAGAAACCCAATTTGAAAAAATCATCAGCTCGCAACAGACACAAAATACTGCCGAGGGAGGTTCCGAGCCCTTTGAGGGGGCCAGGGCCCAGGGTTTCGGACCAATAAGAAACGGTCATAACCTGATTTGATGTTCGTGTATTTCGAACTTTCGAACCCTACCCATGAACCATCAAGTAGATTCCTATCCTCAAGGAGCCGCTAAGCTCGGAGCGAGTGCTGCAGGCTGTTGACTCTCTCGTTGCGGACGGTCCCCCTGGGGAACAGCCAGAAGAACCTCAACACAACTGCGGCGTAGCTCTGGTTCATCATGACTTGCGCGAAATCTCAGAAGAACCTTAAACTCATAAAACTTCGCCCCCAAGCTTACACACAAAAAAAGGTGCCTGGGTCGCCAGTCACGTAAGCAAAGAAAAGGCGACGCCAGCCAACCGATCACTCCTCAAAGGCATTTACTGCTTAGGACCCCTAAGATGGTCCTCCAGATGGTAGGACTCCCTTATAATATGGACCCCGAAAAAGGTACCCCCCCAAAATCGGAAACCCCCCCCATGCAGGGTTCAGGATGGTCCAGGGATTAGGGAGGCTCCGAGACCCCGCATGAGGCGGGCGCAGATGCCGCAGCGGGCGGCAGCAAAGGCACCTTGGTAGTCGTTCACTGCACCAGTTTTCTTCTTTCTTCGCCTCCATGAACATGAACATGATCGATCCCGTCTGGCATGTTCTGCCTTGTCCCTTTGTCGGGGTAGATATTTTCAGAGGGACTCCAATTTACGTGCCACTGAAGGGGTGTAGAGCGTCCCCCATATACTGGAGGTACCTGGCGAGGGCTGGGTGCGGGGCCAGTATATCAGCTTCATCCAGAGCCACAGGCACGCCGGAACCTTCACGCACGAAGGTGCGGGAGCAGGTGTCAGGCCACGGGTTCTTCGAAATCAGCTAGAGCCCCTATGACACAGACACGTTCAGTTCTCAAATTACAGCTTCTTTCTAGGCACCCTATAGCATGAGGCGATGCATTGCAACACGGACAGAAACAGGGAATCACCAAGAAGGCTCTGAAAGATCCCAGGGAGCTCACGGGCTCCATCAGGCTTGCTTCGGGCATGGCGCTTAGCGTTTCTTCAGTTTGCAGACCGAATGCAACAATACATTGTCTAATATAACATGGCATAATAAAGCATACTAGTAATATAATCGAATATAGTATGTTATAATATAATAGCTTGAATTGCAAGATGCAGCAGGTGCTCACTGCCTGGAAGCACAACAGCCATCGGACGGTCTCTTCGAGACAGCGCCTTAGGTTCTGGTTCGCTGCAGGTGTCGGGGGTTGAATGGTCCCATTAAGGCCGGAATTGACTGAGGAGTGTTTGTTTGCACCTTGATATGGGGAGTGCCGGGGTGTCCCCGAAACACAACCTTGGATCTGTTCACTTGAAAGGATGTATGGAGGCAGAGGAACATTCGCTTCGACGCTTCCGCTGTGCACACACATCTACGTGAATCCGTCGTTCGAAATTGGGCTTTCTCCTCCGACCTCTAAGCCGGCTTTTGGCGAAGATGCTTCCGCGGACTAGTTCGTCAACTCAGATGAACTTCTCTGCTTCTTGACTACCATCTTGTACATACGCCAGGCAGACCTACACGCGTTGACGCGTTGGGGCTCTTGCTTTGCAATGCTCCACACACAGATTGACACGGCTCCGTATATTGTACATACACACAAAGCAGATACACTATATCTGTACATGATGTATACTGTATACAAGCGTGTATATATACCCACCCTTTTTGCTTCCATGTAGGCCATTACTATGAGTTTTTTAAGGGCGGCCAGGGACTACGACCCTGACCTCACATGCGAGCCTCAACACAGCAACCCTGTGCCACACTCTAACCCTGTGCCACACTCTGCACCACAAACTCCAAACACCTGATGCCGGCAAACTCTAGCCGTAAACCCAGACCTTCTCGCCACCTCTGCATTTTTGGCATTTGTATGAGCCTGGCATATGCCGGTGAACTATTCCTCACAGCTGTCAGTCTGCCCCACAAACCCGGGCAATGCACCGCCATAGTCCCCTTCAGCACTAGCACTCTAAACCCAAAACCTAAAATTTAAAACTCAAAACCCAAAACCCAAAACCCAAGACCCAAAACCCAAGACCCAAAACCCAAGACCCAAAATCCTAAACCCTAATGCCGAGCCCTTCACACCAGGCAGGTAGTCTGTCGGCAGAAGACTTTGCAGCAGCTGCGGCGGCGCTTGTAGCCTGGATCCCTACCCTAAAAGCCCTTAATTAAGGAATATCCCTCATTTCGTAATAGGAACCCGAATATGATTTAAGGTATATTCCTGAATTAAGGGATTTTGGAGCCTCTGGATCCCTACCCTACTAAAAGCCCTCCCCCAAACCCTAAACCCTAAATCCTCAACCCTGAGCCCAGTATACGGGTCGGAATAATTAGTAATCTTAGGGTCCCAGTGTAATTCTACCAAAAAGAACCCCAAAACCCTTTTCTAATTATTAAGATCCCTAGATTCACTGCCGGACTTTGGGCTCGTCCCATGATTCATCCCCGCGTCTAATATATAGGGCCCTGTTTACTTGGATGGGTATATATATATATGTATATATATATATATATATTTTGGCTAGTTTCCATTGTAGTTATTGGGGGGTCATACAGGAAGTGCATGTATGGCAAGTTCTTAGGCATTGAACACATCAGTAGCGCCCATGGCTTGATGCTACATGGAGGTTCTGGATTGAGGTTGAGCAGCCTTCCGCGCGCGCAGGGGCAGGGGCAACCCTGGCATTGTGGCTCGCGCACCCTGGATGAGGAAGGCCCTAATCAATTTGTACCAAGTGCCGTCTCGCTAAAAATAACCGGCCGTACATCATGCAAGCCTTTCAATCATTAACTCTGTGTTCCACCCCGAGAACCTAAGCGGAGTGTTGCCAATACTCTCTCCTGAGCCCCCGGCCGTCGCGTACAATTGCAGCTTGCACTGTGCCTTGCGAAAGTTAGGTTTCAGGGTAGAGGGTTTCAAGGCGACTTCTCCGCCCCCCCCCCCCCCCCTTCGTCACCGTAGGGGCGTCAGTTGTCTGCTAACCTAGGAATCAGGTGCCGTTCAAAG